AATAACAAAATTATATTTCCGCGGTAAAATATGTTAAATTTAATATGCATTACGTTTTCGAATTTACTATTTTCCAAATAGTAGGAATAGAAATTTATATAAAGCTTCGGTTTATGAGAACTATTCACGCTGTTAATTATTGCAAAATAAATGTTTCGTTAATTGTTCTAAGACACTCAGAATAACACAATACAATATCAATAAAAATATTCTATTCTTTTTAAAAGAACTTCAAACTGGAAAAGTAAGATTTCTTTTCACTCCCTCACTGCTGTTTTTTCAGATAAAATATTCAGAGTATTTTTCTTTCTTTAATTTTTACTGCTTTTTCCATATTTATTATCTACAGTTGCCCTTTTTCTGTGCATTCATTTGATTAATCATTCTATCATGAAAATACTTTGTCTTCTAACTATCAATCTGTCTCCATTTACAAAATGGAATTCGCAGAAACAAAATGAAAATGTGCAAAATAAACTTCCACTTTTCCTTCTAAGAGAATTGTTTTGAGAATTAATGAGCTGGCATTGATTGATTGATGTTCTAAATTTTCATTGTTTAATTTTTCGGAGGTGTTATTTATGTCTGTGCTGAAGTCGTTCCGATACTTCAAGATGTCGCTATTAATTTTTGAAACAATGTTGTAAATTATTGAAACATAGATTACAACTTAGAATGTTGGAATCTATGTTTCAACAGTCGGAGACAGAAGAGTGAGATCTGGTCAGGTTTGAATAACAGATTTCTAATGAAATCGATTTTCGTATTGAAATAATATAAGCAAACTCTTTACTTACAAAAATATGTAATTTACTTCTCATTTATGTTTCATCAAGCAATACTTGAAATCGCAGCAATAATTTAAAATTGCTGATTTCGATTACTTGCGTACTTTACTCTATAATGGTCTGATGGGGGGAAAAATTAAACCTATATTTATTTGGGTGGTGTTTGCTGTATTTTATTTTATTTCACCAAAAATAATTAATAATAATGAATTCAAAAAAAGGAAAAATTAAGGCAATAAAATTAAGCCGCTTAAGGCAAAAAGAAGCAGAACGAAATAAACGATACGACAATGTGCAACAAACAAAGGAAGAATAAAAGAAACATGTTCAAAAGGATCGTAATATGAGATCGTACTATGAGACAGCTAAATCCAGGATCGATGACAATGTCTAATTGCTTTGTTGTGGGAAAATGGAGCATCGACTTTGTCAGATCACTCTTGGGTTGCCGCTTGTGAATACTTTCAGTAGTAATTAAACTAAATCCAAGATCACTGACACTCTCTAATTACTGTGTTGTGGAAAATGGAGCATCGGCTTGGTCAAGCAGCAACCCGAGCAAGCAAGCAACCCGCAAGCAATTCACAAGCAGCAACCCGACAGTCAGATCACTCTCGGGTTGCTGCTTGTGAATACTTTCAGTAATAATTAAACTAAATACAAGTTCATCGACAGTCTTTAATTGCTTTGCTGTGGAAAACGGAGCATCGACTTTGTCAGATCAATCTTGGGTTGCCGCTTATGAATACTTTCAGTAATAATTTTCAGAAAAAAAAAGATGGGAACGTAGTACTGTTGCCTGCGTGCGGGGTCGTTATACGTTGAATGTACATAGGTCCAATTGTAGATTAATAAAATTTATTTGTATCAAAAGAAGTATTTAAGAGTTCTGCAATTTTCCCAGAAATATTTTTACAAGTGTTCACAACATCAAGCAGTGTAATCACTAGTTAACTTCAGACTACTAAGAATGTTAAGTACAACGCAAAGCGCATCTAAAGAGAAAGCTAATCCAATCTCACCCTGAATTAACAATTGGCAATAATAAAGACAATAATAACTAAACAATTGAGTGTTGATGCTCGCTCTTAGGCTTTATATATAGTTTCCACCCGGCCGCTGAGATATTTCTAGTTCGCCAAGATTTTGCTTCTCGAAATTACTGGAAGACAATATTAGTGTCGAATTACAGTTGCAGCTGATATAGTGATCAATTGCATTTATTCAATTACAATACCTATTACGGTAATACAGGGACCAGACCTAAATGTTGCCAAATGGTCGCCAAGTGTGTCGACATTTTGCCAAATTTAGCTACAAAATAAGTCGCCAAATACGTTTTCAGCTTGGCTATATCTCGCCAAATTACCGAGATACCTCTTTACTCAATGTTAAATAGACTCGCACCTGTATTCTTAATTTTTCGGCATAGCTACTCTCTTTAAATTTTTCATGTTACATTATGGAGCAAAATAAAAGAATTTCACAAATGATTGCATTAAAATCATCTATGCACAAAATTCGTAACAGTATAATAAATGCTTCAAGAAACGATTTCTTGATAATGCATTTAGATATGCAGTGTTTGCGATTGTTTGTGGTTTAAAAAGTAAACATTTTGCGGATGTTTTACGTGAAGAATTTCCTGATGATAGTGTCTCTAAATGCATGTTATGTGGTTCATGTAAATGATGTTTCTATAAGAAGAAAATTCTGTTTATGCTAAAAACAAATGGTTTTGCTTATCTGTCCTGATTTGTCGTCAATGGATCCGATAAGTGAGAGAGAGCTTAATATCTCCTCGTTTACCATTTATTAAAATACAAAGATTCAGAGCAGAGGGTTATGCAGTATGTGTAAAATCTTTTATTTGTTTTATTTGTTCTATAACATCCTCATACTTCCCTTAACACTCCTACGCATTAACACCAGCGGCTCTTTAAACTAAAAGACAAAGCACGTCGTCTATTTTTATTTTGTATCTTTTCAAATATGTACAAAATCGCATAAAGCGTTTCTATGAATGTAGGAATCTGGAGATTTTTGTCGCTATCATCTATTTGTTAATCTTAATTAACTTAAATTTCAGTATTATTCAAAGATTAAATTTGTTTCGTCATCCGTCAGTAATTGTAAACCACAGACAGATTAATCGTTTTTTCATTTGCCACTTAAAACCATCTTCGGCACACTTAGTAAATTTTGGAATTTGCTTAAAAACTTTCTCCCCGTTATACATATTCTTAGTTCGCAATCCATAAGACGGTCATTATTATTTCTTGTCAATCCTGGCGGCGATTATATCATGGCTATTAGATCCTCATTTTAGTATTATATTTATTAGATCCTTGGTTTGGAATTTTCCACATCACAATTAACATCTATTTTGCTTGGTATAACCTCTTCTTTTGAACGAATGGTAATTATTAACTTACCTTTAATTGAAAGAAGTCTTCCTCTCAGATGCTTTTGTATTTATGTGCTGTAATTCAGAACAACATTTTTCCGAAAAACGTAATCCATACTCAGATACATATATCCATTAAAAGGAGTCTAAAATGAAAATGTGGAAACGATAACGTAGTAAGTTAAATGAATTTACGTATAATAGTTATTAGATGTCTAAGATCTAAAACCTTACGACAAGAGAAATTTGAAGATTTCGAAGAATTTCGACTTGCATCTTATTTCCTGAACATTACCCTTAGGTCTCAACCGATAACTTTCTGAATATATTTCGTCAGTTTCGGATAAACTATTGTTTAAGTAATTGGTTTAAACAATTGATACTATGCTGTAATGATGGGCATATTTTTTAAGAAATATTTTATTGCTGGTATACAGAAAATTATGAATTAATTATAAATTTTGAGTAGCAATAATCAAGAGTTATTTTTGAATTAGGATCTATTCTTGCTTAAAAAATGCATTATCCTTTACTGTATTATATTAGCATTACTATTGTATATGTACGAGAATTATACAGAATTATTTGGAATTTATTAGTAAAGTAGTTTTGCAACGTTTAGTAAGATAAGAGTTTAGTAAATATTTAGAAGGGACGTTTTTAAACGCACCAAGTGAGTAACATCAACTATGTATAGTAGTCTGCAGAATCTTATTTAGGAACAGTAATGAAATTATCATTATCATTATTATTATTTATTATCAATAGTTATTAAGTATAATTAATCATCATAAAGTATCAATACATATTAATAATGATTAATTATTGCTGAAATCAATTATTAATAATTATTAGTAACACACCACAATGCATTATTGATTAATTATTCATAATTATTATTAACAATTAATAATTCTTATTTGTCATTGATTATTATTTATCATTAATTCTTATTTACTATTAATTATTTTTTACTCGTTTTAATTATTTTCATGTCATGGTATATGCGTGGTGGAATCAACTAGACCAATTTAAATGTGGGACATCGGAATTTTTCATAAGGGCCAATTTCTGTTTCTTGTTACTTCTGCGACATCCGAAGATTGTGGTATTTAAGTGTAACAAATACTATAAAATAGACTTTGCGTTTGATTATTTTGAGAACATTTAAAGTAAGCTATTGTGACGTCCGATATGTTAACGGTATGAGATGTTTCCAGCTTATGATGTTCATAAGTAACAGTGTAGCACCTTCACTTAAAAAATAGTCTCCTTCCAAAATTCAAATATCATTTTTGATATCTCTTTCGGACTGATCGAATATATGCGGTTCTTTCAAAATACATTATTCTAAATAGACTAATTACCTATTTTTGCATGAGATGATTTCGGTTCTCAGAAATATTTACTTGAAAAATTTTTATGGCATTATTTATGGCAAAATATCCTATTTCGTGACATTATCTTCATATAATATTTCATTAACTTTTAGTTGCTGCTAAACTGCGTCATATTCTACTAATATGGAAACAAATTTTTATTTCATGTATAAGAATAAAATTTCTTAAATTTAAATTCAATGCTATTGAACAATATGTTTTAGGCTTTTTTTGATAAAAATATGACACATTTTCCAAAGGCATTTGTATTCATAATTCTAGAATATCTTTCATTATAGATCATAATCGACGAAAACACAACGTTTCGCACGGGCAGACAGGCTAGAAGATAGGCAATGTTTTCAATTGTTTCTAGTTATTAGCTGAATGTTAATAAAATAGCTATAAAAGACTTTTAGGTAGTCATAGTATAAAAAATAATTTTTATTTGGCTAATGGTTTCAGAAGACCTGACATTATATTTTAATACTTTATCTTCAGGAATACCAGTCATCTCTTGAGTAACGTATCGCTGCTTCATACCAACAGCAACCCTTAAGAACTTATAAAATTTTAAAAACCATAGCGTTTCACATGTTATTATACTGATCATTGCCTATGAGGCCATTTTCAATCCTCGAAAGACATCATTATAAACTCAGAAGGTAACGAAAGGTCAAACAATTTTAAAATGCTTGTTTCTTGAATATACATTTCACCATTTAATACAGTTACCATACCTCTATACGTGCTTTTGTCAAAACTTTCATTATTACTTTTCAACTTTGTGAAGCCAGGAAGAGCAATATTAAATAGTTTTAGCATAATCTTAAACTATGTTAACATGTTTTCTATACAATATACTCGGCAGCAGTCACATTTTTCTTATCTCCTACGTAAGAAATATATCCGAGATTTGACCGGTTACGAATGAGAGCCTTGTGTATGAGATCTTCGTCTGCTGCACGGAATCCGCAAAATCGAATATCCAGTTGCAATATGGTCTGATTTACATCCATGGCCTGAGAAAATGCTGGGCCTACTTCCTGAAAAAAAGAGAGAAAACATTTAAAAAAAAAAAAAAAAAAAAAAAAAAAAAAAAAAAAAAAAAACTCGCGGCCGGCAAGAGAGCTTTACTTATTTTTCTGCAGTCCTTTATTCACACCCAGAAAATAAAACTGCATACATAATTATAATATATTAACAAAAACTCTAATTCCACGGGATATAATAACATACATAGAACTTTAATGCTAAACAGGATATCTGAGATTTTCAAAAATCTGAGACTTTTAAAAATATTTCCTCAGCCGACTGTAAACTCTGCTAACACATTTGCAATTTTACCAGAAACTCTTTGGACTTAACACTAAAATAAAACTTCAGTAAAGTGGATATCTCAGAATTTTACTAATAGTATCCGTACAGGTCCCAGAAAGCCATATAGCTTGCATGGTGCATGATTTCAGTATTGGATGGTCCGTATCACAGGTGGCTAGCTTTTATCAGCTATTTAGAAAGAGCAAGCTTCTAGCGACATCCAGTTGACGGGCATTCGCCTGACCTCTGTTCTGAAAACTGTAATGCAAAAAGTTGTAGGAAAAAGGCGTCAGGTGTCGGGTAAAGAAACAATGGGTGTCTGTTAACAATCGTTTATTTCTTTATGTTCTTTCATTTCTTTTAAAGTATTCGGTAGCAATATATGTAGTTACTCCCTTATAATGTATGTTATATGTAGTTAACATTTATCACATTTTTAAGTATGAAAACGGGCTTTTATTTCTTACAGCCCGCACTATTTTACAGTGATGAATCTTTGGTCCACTTTAGACGCTGAGTTTTACAGGCCTCACATATCTCCTCTAGTTCAGCGGTTCTCAACCTTTTGCCTAACGTGTATCATCTAAACAAAAATTGAAAACCTTTAGTACCACCACTACATTTTACAATGACTATTTTTTTAATTTCTGAATAGAAACATTAAGAAAAGAAGCCTGAAAGCTTTTAGATTTTATATTACACCCAAAGAAGCGTTTCTTTAACGTATTGTGTGTTATCTTTATTTATTAAATATCATATTCTTCGCATTTAAACCCTAAAATTCAGTTCAACAGCAATGCCGCAAAATAACTTTAAAATGAGCATATCTTTAGAATTTCCGATACACAGTCTCGCACGATGGAGATAATCCCCCTTCCCCGTACAATATTACCATTTCTCGCTTAGAAATCGCTGAGTTTGTCAATAAAAAATTCGTTAAAGTATAACAAAATATGAAATTGACAATACAACGAATTCCAAATTAAAGCTTCCAGACGCCCATATTCGGTGGAGGATTCGTTATTCAAAATTGGATGGCTTTAGGTAAGGCTCTTTTATCACAATGCGAGAAACATACCTACATTTATGCAGATTCTTCATTATTTAATTTCTTTAAATACACTGACTACCAATAAGTATTTGGACACCTTTGCAAATGACGATATCTGCGGTCCTAAGGTACGTCACGGCCTCCGCCGGTATATATCGTGTAGGAAACAGCATTGGGTTTAGTCGCATGCAAGATGCCTAGCAGTTCGGAGCTCTCTGATTTCGAGAAAGGTATAATTATCGGGTATCACAAATGTGGCCGAATCCTTTTCAACAGGCATCCGGGAGCATTGTTTCAATGAATACCATCCGTAAGGAAGCACATCTGCTTGGTTTTCATGGTCGTGCTGCTGCCAATAAGCCTTTCATCACAAAGTCCAACCGCGCTGCTCAGTTAATGTGGTGCAAAGCACATCGAAATTTGACCGTAGATTAGTGGAAACGGGTTCTTTGGAGTGACGAATCAAGGTTCACCTTTTACCGTTCGGATGGCAGAGTATGGGTCTGGCGTCTACCTGGAGAACGTCTCCTGCCAGAATGCATTGTGCCAACAGTCGTCAAGTTCGGTGGAGTTGGAATTATGGTCTCCTGGGGGGGGACCCTTGGTCCCCATTGGTAAGCTCAACTCCGATGCCTACTGCACTATTTTGGCTGTCATGACCAACGTGCTGCTTTTAGTTCGGGACAATGCATCTGTTAGTTGGCCAGTTGTGTCATGTTCATTGAACTTTAGGATTGGGCCATGTTTGTCGAGTTGGAACTGACCTGCCAGGACGGGTTGCCCCATTCATGAATCGTACTTATTTTGGAGAACTTGGACCTGTTGTGCAGTCGGTGCTCCATTCAGGACGACAATTCAGTTGTCATTTCGACGTTAACCAGTTGGGTTGGACTTACGTGGAATCCCGACGGGAACCTATGGGGTGAAGGAAATGGCTAGGCCTAAAATCGGTGAAGGACTTCTATGTCCTCGAGAAAAAAAAAAATACCACTAGCTTACACAAGACTTGTGGAAAGTATGCCCCGGAGGATCCACGCTGTAATTACCTCTCGTGGATGCTCTACCAACTATTGATTTTCAATAAAGTTAGTTTTTCTTTTCTATCACAGGTGTCCAAATACTTATTGTTAGTCAGTGTATAATGCAGGTCTCTAATATTCGGTGGCTAGAATTTAAAAAGAGCTTCGCCGTTTATAGTGAATCAACGCAAAATACCAAAGCGAAATTGATAGCCCTTGCATGTGAGCAAAACTGCCCCTTTGGGCTAATAACTTTGTTCTTCTTGATGCTTCTTTTATATACACACCAAAGATCAGTGCTGTAATTGTCGCTTAGCACGATTTTCCCGTAATAACTTGAATATGCATGCAATATTTCTATGTACGGAAGTTCAGAAATGATTATTTTTTATATAGGAAATGACCCATATATAAAGAAAATAAAAGCATTAATGTTCTGCTTAAATTAATGAATGGTTGGATACACTTTTGCTTTACTTTTTTCCCGATCTTAAATATACTTCCCTAACAAAAATCCTAGTAAGTAAAGTACTCCTTCAACTCTTACGCCATCACTAATTCGACTGATACCAGTTTCCTGAGAATTCTGTAACAACTTTGGCAAAATATTTGAGGTTATTCTGGGATTGAAGTTATTGAATATTGAAATATAATACAGAACGATAAAATTCGGCGGCAACAATTTGAAAAGTGATACAACCTTTTAAAGTTTTCGACGCAAAATGCCAAAACGAAGTTAATAGCCCTTCTGGGCTAACGCCGTTTGGGTTAAAAAGAAAGAAAATGCTTTCAGATTTTACATAATGGCCAAAAGGGCGTTTCTTTAAAGTTTGATGTGTTACCTTTATTTATTAAACATCATGTTCTTCCCAATTAAAACACATAATATCATGTTCTTCGCAATTAAAACACATAAAATCCAATTCAACAGCAATATCATAAAATATTTAAAAACAGCAAAACAGCATACCTTTAGACTTTTTGATACACATTCTCACGGCTGGAGATTAGAATACTTTTTCTTTTCGTACAGGGTTGCCATTGCTAGCTTCGAAATCGTTGAGTTTGTTAATCAAAAATTAAAGTTTAAAATAAAAAGAATTTGAGGTTAAGGGTTAATCAAAAGCTTTAAGTTTTTTAAAATTTGAAATAGATAATAAAACAAATTCGAAATTTGAAATTCGGGCTTCCAATTGGCCGTGCTCGGTTGGAAGATTACCTTATTCAAAATTTAATGGCTCTAGGAACCGTTGTTACTTCCTTGTACGAAATAAAAAGGAAGTATTGTAAACGCGAAAAGTTTCAGGCAGCATATTTCAACGAAAATATCCATTTTGACCGCTATCGAATGCAATTTAACGATGTTTTTTGCGTGATATCTGTACGTAAGGACAGAATAAAATACTCTTCTCCTTCAAAAAAATTATAAAACTGCTTTAAAATTAATTCTGAAGAGAATTTTTCGTGGCGTCTGTACGAACGTATGTACGTACGTATCTCGCATAACTCAAAAACGAGTAGCCTCAAAACGTTGAAATTTTGTATATGGGACTGCTATAACATGCAGAAACATGCAGATGTGCACCTCGTATTTTGTTTGCAATCGGCCGCACCAAACGTATATAAATACATTCATTTATATATATATCCACTCTGTTACCCGGCTCAGTGATCTCTGTTTCTTTACTCTTATATGTTTGTAAATTGTACATTTTTTCTTTAAAAATGATTGAATTATGTTGTTTTTATCTTCCGGTTAAGGAAGGATTTTATGCATTTAGTAAATCTGTGTGCAATATTTTTAGAATTATCAGCAATTTTAAAGTTGTTTAATGCTGCTAACCCTGTTTTTAATGGCGGCCATTGATGTTTACATTTGAAACAGGAGACTAGTGGATTCGTTGCCAATCTAGAGAAATTTAGCTTCGCAACAACAAAGATAACGCATTCATTTATTATTGCCAATTAAATCATGCATAATTCTTTCTGGAATTTTTTCGAGGAAATAAGTGTTTGAGATTTACTTACTAATTTTTAATATAGATATTTTGAGTTTTTATGTATTTTTGCCTTCTCGCGAAGTGAGAACTGAATTAATTAAATGAGAAATACTCAATCGTCTGTGAAAAACTGTTTCTTTTTTGTTTTGTTTGCTTAATTTCTTTTATGCATCATTCTAGCTTTATTATAGTATTTTAATAGAACATGTGGCAACGATTATATAATTCTGTTCTTTAAATGATTTAAATTTTGTGCATTATGAGTTATACTATGAACGAAATATATACGTTAACTGTTATATAATTATTGGATTATATAACAGTTAACTTAGTTATATAATTATTATATATGTTAACTGTTATATAATTATTAATACTGTTAAGTGAATCTAGCGCCAGAGTGTCGCTATGATAAACGAATACTAGAGTGAATTTTAAAGAATGCGTTTATTCTATTGTGGTTTATGCGCTGTCGGCGAAGTAGATGTAATTCAATCCAATAATTTGAAATGAAATGCAAGAAAAAATGCGTATAATTTAATATTCCAATACAAGGAAGTCATGTGGTGTACACATCAGATTTGTTTTTCACAATGCGAGAATCATTCATGCATTCATGCAGATTTTTCATTATTTAGTTTTTTTTTAAATATAGTACACGGCGATAATATTTGGTGGCTACAGTTTGAAAAGTGAATCGACGCAAAATGCTGTTTTAAAATTAACAGCCCTTCTGGGCTAACGCTCTTAGGACTAAAAAATATTTTGGCATTTGCAAGAACTATGTCTATTTGAATTACATATGCACACATAAAAATATTAGATTAAAAATTGGTTACTATTTTAATTATCAAAATTTAAGTTATAATACTTTAATTCTAAAATTTCATGCGAAATTTGAGCCGTTTAAGAGAAATCAATTTCTAATTTCTTTATGTCTGGTCTTATTTCACTTAGTTTTAAGCGTAAATTAGAATCCAGTTTTAATTTTGTTCTGTATTTATTTTTTAAATATAACATGGAAGAACATTCTTGCGCACACATATAGGTTGTCCAAAAAGGCAATACAAATTTAATAGCTTTGTTTGAAATGCTTCTAAATTATTTTTTTCGGTTAACAAGTGTGTTATTTTTTAAAATCTTCAGTTAGATTTCTATCACAGGAAATTTCTGTCAATTGTTCCTTTTCTTCATGACATAACATTTCAGGTATATTTGAACAAAATGGATATCTAAACTAATTTTCTTTTTCATAATCCTCGGGCAAATATAGGTTGGAATTATTTATCAATGAAAAACAATGATTTTTAATGTCGGATGCTAGTTGTTCTTCTATTTTAAAATTGTTTTTGGTTAGAAAACTTTCTAAAAGTGGCAAAAAGCTTAAAATATTATCCAATTCTTTGAAACTTAGCTGGAGTTTTATCATTGCCTTTACATTATCTCTAACGGTAAACAAATTGACATTTTGTCCTTGTAATACTAAATTTAATTCATTTAAATTTCCAAAAATATCAGCTCAAAATGCTAAACTCGCCAACCATCATTCACTAAATAGACATTTTTGCAATTCAAATTTTGAATCACACAGAAAAATTTGAATTTCCGATCGAATTTAAAAAGACGATTTAAATCTTTGCCTCTGAATAACCACCTTACTTCGGAATATAACAAAAGCGTTTCATGTTCACTGCCCATCTCTTCACATAAAATCGTAAATATTCTTGAATTTAAAGCTCGGCTTTTAATAAAATTGGGATTTCTTTGGTTACTAAAGCTTCACGATGTATGGAGCAGTGAGTAAATTTAGTTTCAGGTGCGACTTTCTTTATTTGCGAAATCACTCCGGAATGTTTTACTGTTAAAGCCCGAGCTCTGTCACGACAATGCACTTATTCGAAGGAATATCATTCTCAGACATAAAATTATCAATTACTCTAAAATTTTCGTTTGCAGTTGCTCTACCATGATAAGATTCACAAAATAAATATTAATGGGCCCCTTTTGCTTCAAAAAAGAAACCTAATAACTCTACATGAAATATTCCGTAAAGTATTGCAAATAAAAAATGAAACCACTTGAAATAAAGTAAACATTCGTCCAGCTTTAGTTGTGGTACTATAAATGTTGTGCCCTGAATTTAGATACTCAGGCAAGACTCAAACCCAACTTTCAGGCGTTATAACACGTTCTTACTGATAATCATCAAAAAAGTTAAGTGCGGTTTTTGGAGCTCCTTCATTGTGCTATAGAAGCACGTAAGTATTGTCTTTAATATGTCATCAAAGTTACACATCACAAAACGTAAACATCTGGCGACTTTGGGAGACATCCGGGAAAATGCTAGAAAGTATTCCATAGGATGATACGTAATTAAATAAGCCATGAAAACTTTCTTGATGTTTACGCAAATTTTTGATAACTGATGTTATACATCACGTTACAGCATAGTAATTCGCTACGGCAAACGGATGCTGCAAAGAGATGGCCCTCGCATCATCTTTTCCAAAGCCCATTTGATTGTAATTGTTTTCTTATGAATGATAACATTTCAAGACATTCTATTCTCGCTTTAGATTTTGTTTTTTGAAAAATAAGGGCACCTCTCATATTAACTGACCTGCAAGGTCGCCAGATCTTTATTTTATGAGATATGTGCAGACTTTGAGTAGATGTTTTGCTGCACACCCACATAGAGTGCCTAATGCCCAACAACTGGAAAGAAAATTTACTAGAATAATGGAAAACGTTGCCCCAACAATTTATTAACCGCCTCATATTAACAGAAACTCAAGTAATAATTTCGCTTAAGAGACATCATATCCCTATTATATATAAACTTTTACTTTTATTCCATGCATGTATCTGTACTAAGGCCAGTAATTCTTTACAACTTTTAGTTGTTAAACGTACCGTTTATGTGTTCTATTTTGCGCGTGTGGTTTACACGTGTAGACCACACGAGCAAACGTGTTTAAGTTTTGCACGTGTGTGTGCAAAACTTAAAGGCGAAAGTGCCTTAAATTTTGCACTCCAATATAAGTCTCCTTAATTAATACACAATAACACTCCGAACAAATACTAGTTCAGAAGTCAAACAACAAAAATCAGCGTTATATTTTCAAAGTTTCACAAGACTAGTTTCGATGGTTTTACCGAACCACCATCCTCAGCTGCAAAACTGCAAACCGCTGCAAAACCGCAGCAGCAGCAAACCGCATTTGCAGCTGCTGCGGTTTTTGTTGTTTGACTTCTGAATTAGTATAAGTCTCCTTCCCTATGCCGACAATCCAAAAATGTGAAAGCTCATCAATAAGGTTTCTGGACTGCGGATTTCTAGATTATTCTATGCCACAGAGCTTGCGTAAAGCTGATGACGTAGCTTATTCTAAACTTGAACTCAAAATTTCAGGAACTCTTCTAATCAAGCCAAAAACTTCTCTTGATGATTCTCCGTATTGGATAACAACGAGCTTTTAGCTTCAGCTCTCCTGCACTCGCTTGCTTCAACCTATCTGGACTGCAGTCTGCTGCTCTCTTCTTATTGCAAATCTACCAAAAATGTAAGCATCTTGAAATAAACTAGTGTGCCAAGTTGTTTGTGGCCGCAGCATGTTTTCACTGAAATAAAATGAAGATTTAATCTGCCTTGGCTGCCACGTTCCTATTCATTGTGGATCGGCATTTCAGCATTCTTTATGCCACCAAATTTCTTGCTCTTTATTACGGATTCAACGTAATGAAGTTCAGTTTACTTCTACGTTCTACACCATCAATATTGCAAAGTCTTTGTCTCTTTTTTATTACACACACACATACATATATATATACGTAGTTATATATGTATATCTATCTATAGATAGATAGATAGATATACATACACACACTCACTCTGTTATGTGGCTCGGTAAGCTGAGGTTTAGTCCAAAGGGGCAATTTGGCCTGAAGGACTATTAATTTCGTTTTGGCAATTTGCTTTGAAAACTTTAAAAGGCTGTATCACTTTTCAAATTGCTGCCACCAAACATTATCGCCCTGTCTTTTATTTAAAGAAATTAAATAATGAAGAATCTGCATAAATGTATGTTTCTCGCATGTTGATAAAACAATGGTACCTAGTCATCAAATTTGAATAACGTATCTTCCATAAATAATGCATGTGGAACCAATTTGAGTATGAAATTTGTTTTTTCATTTCATTCATTTTGTAACATTTCAACGAATTTTGATTAAACTAAACAAGCGAGCATGGCAATCTTTTACGGGAACAAAAAAATTATCTCCAGCGCGCGAGACTTGTACGGAAATTCTAAAGGTTTCTCATTTAAAATTAATTTGCGATATGCTGTTGAACTGAATTTTTGTTTGAGTACGTAGAATATGATATTTAATAAATAAAGGTAACACACAAAACGTTAAAAAAACGCCCCTTTGGACGTAATTTAAAATCTGAAACCTTTCAGTTTTTTTTTATATGTCGGTAAACTGTACATTTTTTGCTTTAAAAGTTATTACGTTTTTCTTATGATCCGGTTGAGGTTTTTATGCCTTTAGTTAATTTGAACGCAGTAGTTGTGGAATTATCAACAATTTAAAAGTTTAAGTAGTGCTAACCCCAACAAGAACGCTAATTATTTACATTTGAAATTCTTAGTAGAATAATGAATTAAGTCAATTTGTGCATCAACTTCAGTATCTTTTTGCCGAAATTTACTCCCAATTTTGTGCACTGACTTCGTTCCCGCTGTGCGAATTGCTTGTTTTTGAGTACAAACTCTATTTTTAATTGCAAAAATTTTTAAACTGTATTTGGTGTTTTATATTTTTCTCTAGAGTACAATTTTTAATAAAGATGTTTTGCCGCGAAGGGAGAACTGAATTAATTGAATGAGAAACATATCTCTGATAAAACTCGAGGAAATAAACGCTTAAATGAAGTGCAAGAAAAACTGTGTGTAATTTGAGAAGCCGTCCAAGCAGCAACCGAGCGGTAAAAGCCTCTGAACACTAATAGTTCTTCTCGGGATTCGAGTCCGGACGAAAGGGCTGGCTGCATGGGCGATTTCGGTGGTTTTCACCATATGTAACGTGAATACTAGCTAGTTTCCCTTAAAAAGAACTGCACGGGGCATCCCGCTTTCCGAGTAGCGCTTAAGCACGTAATAAGTAAAAAACGTTAATAGGCCGTACAAGGAAATCCTGCAGTTTCCATGTCAGTTATTTTTTTCCCTTTTTCTAAATCTGATTTCAGAATTTTAAACAGGGAAGAATCAGTAAATTCTGTAACTCCAATATTAATTTACAACAAATATTATGTTAATGTTCAATTTCAAGGAAAACGGTACAAAATTAATACTTACTGGACTTAGGTAATTCTCTGCTATGTTCAGATTTCTCAAAGATTTTGAAATTTTGACAACATCCGCGAATGCCAAGCCAGTTCCACTTCTCACTTTGTTTTTCGAAATATCCAAGTCATCAATTGTGCTATTATTTTCTATAACTTTAGCGAGAAATATACCACCTTTGTCTCCAATCAAATTGAGGGATAAATCCAGTTTCTTCAATGTCGTATTTTCTGACAGTCCTGAAGCAATAGCTTTGAGCCCCTCATCAGTTATGCTGTTATATTTAAGGATTAGTGTTTCAAGAGGACATTTTGAGATTAATATTTTTCCTATCCATTGGCACATGGCATCATTTACAAAATTGTACGAAAGATTAATTTCTTTCATACATGTGTGATCGACAAATAGCTTACACAGAATCTCAATTTGAAAATTTGGAACAAAGCCATTAGAACATCTAAATTTTTCAAGCTTTTGCAGCTTTCGGAGTCCTCGCAGCAGAGAATTAAAATCAGCGATTGATAATTGCAGAGTTTCAAAGTCTAATGATTTTGGAGGAAGAATGAAAGTGAATTCTCTAAGCTGGTGCAAACTGCCAAGTACCAAATCTAAGTTCAAATATATTGGCCTTTCGGGTGCGGCTACAAAATCATCCAAAAGTTCGTCAAAGTTCTCAGGGAAAAGATCTACATTTAGAATACTTTCAGGGATTTTGTTCAATTTCGTTATTTTCAAGCGGTAAACGTAATCTGAGAATGTCTTTAAATGTTTCTCCAGCTCAGAAATATCAGACTGATCAGGTATAAAATTTTCAATTAACTCTTGAACAGACTTTTCCACAAACATGGCCTTCCACTTGTCATCGAAACGCCAAACATCGTATGCCGGCCATTTTAGCAAACATTGTCTTTTCCAGTAAGGGCCTTCTTCTAGATTGGGCAAAATATACTTGACAGGAATATCCAAAGGCAAGAGATCTATCATCCTTCTTTTCTGCTCCTCAGTAGCGCTTTTTATCAAACTTGCCAGTTCAGGACCTGGATTTATAAATGATTGGTTATGATTTGATCTGCGGTATAATTTCGCATTTAAGGAGAAACACTTTAACCCATTTAGTGCTACTCCCGAGTTAACTCGTAAACAGTTATATCGGGTTAAGGTATCCGACTACAGGATATAACTGTTACCTGAAGGTTAAGATATGAACTGATTAAGCTATCCGACTACGTTCTAATCGTCAATTTTGGCGAAATGTTTAAAAAAAAATAATTACTTTATTTTAAAGCTTATACATTCAGCTTCCCAAAATTACGTTTCTTTTGTCTCTCCAGTCTTCAGAAGAAGAATTATGGCGCCGTGAACCAGAAGTTTCCGTTTAAGAATTCAGAAGTTGTTGTCTAAAGGTACTCAGACTAATCTGATTAACTTTAAAATGAGAATACTTCATTTGAATACTTTTGGTGATGCTCAAAAAGATGATTTTGAACCTTGCTGTTTGTTATTAAGTGCTCGGGAACTAAATGTAATTTTCATACTTGGCAACATTTTCTTAACCTTGAGTTTGTATTTTCATTAAGTTAAACATTTTTTGAAAATCTTTTTTCAGTTTTTCTGCTACGAAAGAAAACTTAGCGTAAAATATTACAATAGTAATTTTATCAAAATTTCCACAAGTATTTTGTGAATTAAATAGGCAAATTTCTCTAAATATAATAAATTTAAAGTTTTTTCAGACAATTTTATAAATAAAAAGAAAGAAATTTCGCGAAAAATAGCTAGTGCATGTACTCAAACAGGTATATGTAATACACATTTTAATTTACCATTTAGAATTCAGCTCATTTAATTCCTTATACCGAAATAAATTTTTATAGGAATATATCTATTAATCGGGACATTTAACACACTTTTTTAAACTCAAAATGTAACAAAAATTCATACTTTGTTAATATATTTTCACATATTTCTACCTTAATGTAAATAACTGTCACTGAATTTTGAAGTTGTTTTTCTTATTTCCTTGTCACCTAATCTTGTTTGTGTAAGATTCGTACTGTAAACATTCGAAGTTTGCGAATTTCTAAGCTGCTTGTTTGTGTGTGGCATGTGAGAGCGCGCATTTGAAATATGCAGTTGCTGATTTGTTTTCTCATGACTTGATATTAAAGTACTATAATATCACGCGTCAGACCGCAAAGTTTCCCTCTCCCAGAAAATCCATCCTAAGCAGAAATTTATCATCTCTTGCTTTAACATCATCGACAAAGTAATGCTGCCTGGATTTTCTAGGATGGTAAACAATAAATAAAGCATCTGAGTTTGATAAAAAAAAATACTTACGTATGAGCTTAAGTCAGCAGTCTTCTAGACCGCGCAATAAGAAAAGTATAAATTTTTTTTCGAACATCAGTGGCTAAGGATTAATTTTTCATTTGGTAGCTAGCATTTTATTATTTATTATACTTTTACAAAATATTATGCGAATAAAGGTCGGGGTAAAACAAATTACGCACTCGCTTTAGATGAATTCTTAGGAGAGGAGTCAAATTAATCACCAAATAAATAAATAAATAAATAAAAATAAAAATAGTTATAAAATGTAAAAAAAATATTTTGATATGAATTTAGCAATTAAGATATTACCTTGTAGAGACATAAGGTATTTTTTAAGCAGGAGAAGTGAAAAATGAGCAACGCCCTCGCCGGGAATTGAACCACGGACCTCTCGAATACGCGCCCAGCGTGCAGACCTATACACTAGAGGGTATGCTAAGAAGGCGGGAGAAATAGCTTATAACCTATCATTACAAATATGTTGTCATCCACAATCTGTCTTTTCAATATATAACTTTCTATTGTATAACCCTAATTGAATTCTGAGAAAAAACTAAATACAATCTACTTTTCATAATGAATAATGCTCATTGTGATGCAATAAGTATGCTTCAATAAGTTTATAACAATTACAGAATACACATGATGTGTAACTACAATAAATAATGTGGCAAATACAGAAGTATAACAAACGACATACTGAAACAAGTGCAAACAAAAGAGACTAGATGTTTCTCTCTGATGAGAAGCAACATCACTTTTGGGAATTAATGAAAACTACAGACTCAAGTGAAACTTGTTAATGGGTTTATCGTGAATGTAAATGCTAAACCAACTGTATCTAAATGAATACCATCCTTCTTATGTATATATGAAGTTAACTATTTTTAAAATTACAAAAGCAGAGTGTCATAACTGGCTTGAGATGACAACGATTGTGAACGTTTATAGCAACTGAGCGTAAAGCGATTAATGCAACTCATATATTTTTATTATACATTTAATGCATAACAGGCAAATTTTGTGTATATTTACTCGTATCTTATGTAGATGGATTGAATATATTTGTCTTATTCTAATATTAAGGATAATTTATTTTATTTTAGCTGCTAATTTACTATTATATTGGATGGTTTCATATATAATATATTATTACACTTCTTTAGTTTAAATTTCGTTACATGGCTATGGACTTATATTTAACTAAGTATTTAAATTTTGTAACTGTATGCTAAAGAAACAACTTTTAAAATTAGAAACATAGCCATATTTTCATTTCTTTGAATGTAATAATTCAATGAACCATGTAAAATGTCAAAAGTAATTATTAATAATATCTGATTGAACCAGATAATCATTATTCTACGAGACAAATATTCTCTGCAATAACAATGCTGCATCAAACTTGGAGTAAAGGAGTTGGTGTTTCATTACTGGAAACAGAGCATCACTTTTGCAAGCTAATGAAATCGCTACTCTTGATTGAGATTTAATAAGGAATCTATTATAATGCGAAATATTAACCAAATTATGCATAACGAAAAATACGTTTTTGAGTACATTATGTAAATAAACTTAACTTTTTATTACAGTTAAGAAAGCAGATATTCAAGCTTGAGACATCCAATTACACATGCACTGCGAAACTCATCGCAGCAAGAATGTACAAACGAGAAAATGCAACATGAAGCCTTAAATGAGTCTAATGATGACTTGTGGCTAAACACACTGTTCACATAGCGAGTTATCATACTATTATTATCAACATAGCTGATGAGGCTTTGATGTAATTGTACCCATCTTGTGTAAAGCAGTTTTTAAATCCTGGATGATTTTCGATGGCGGCAAGCGAATTGAAGTTGCCTTTTATAGTACACCTCAGACAATTTCAAATCTGGAAAACTAACTGGCCAAATATTCTCACTTGTCAAATATTTTTGTCTCTTAGCTATTGTCCTTAACTGTTGTTGAGAGGTATAGTCCATGAAAAGGCCCATGTTGAGAATCAAGTCAAGATGTATAGTCAAGTATAGTCAAGTTGAGAATCAACTGCGCTTCTATAAAGACATACATGGGGCTTTGAGATCGCCTATGTGTACCTATGAGGACTTGAGAAACCTTTATCAAAGGTATGAAGTACAGCCATCCACTGTGGATCCTGGCCATACCACGATATTTCTGTCACATTAGTGATCTTATTAGTGGTTAGAAACGTTTTCTAGCTTTTGAGTGAGAATTGAAAAATCTTGATTTTCTTAAGCACCATTGGGCGCTATTGTCAAGACTTTCTGGGTATCAGCCAATCATCTGAAATTATCTCCATTCTCAGATGGCACTAGGCATTACACTGAGTTCACTTACAACTTCAAACTGGGATTATGAGACTGCCTTGCCTTTAGTATACCAATAATTCTGCACCTCATTCTGCCATTTAAATGTTAGTGATTGGTCATTCTGCCCTGCTTTTGATAACGTTTAACAACGTTTTTTGCCCTACTTTTGATAACATTTAATAACAGACACTGTGATTACTGCTGATGTGTACGAAAGGAGAATGAACGAAGAAAAAGATACCGTTTTACCTTTACCATTATCGAAAAAACTGAAACTTATATTTGTACGTTTGCATAGTCAGCACAACTGTTACTGCAATATTATTCGACCGGATAATATTTCCAGTTTTGGTTTAGTGTGTTTTGAGAAGTAAAAAAAAAAGTGTTTATTTCCTTATCATTAATCATTAGTATATATGCAAAGCCTTTCTGGGGTCCATTATGATATATTTATTTAATTCGGCCCAATGTAAGACATTTTATCTCATGCCAATTTCTTTCTGGAAATTCTTGCATACTAGCTAGCCGCAGGTTTTTTAAATTCTGTGTAGTAAAACTATCATGTTCAGTGTGCCTGTCTGCTTATTGGTAAAGGTATAAGCTGACCTTTACCAATAAGCAGTTAGGTTTGTTATTGGTAAAGATATAAGTAGAGAATAAAATAACGTATTTTATATTATAAATTTATGATACTAATTTAGAATAATACTAATTTAGTTGAAAATTTTTACTAACCTCGTACTGACTGAGATCCATCCACGATGATATCCCTTAAATTTGGGACAGGGCAACGACACCAGTTTGGGTCCTCAGATTTTATATGACGTCCTTTCTGACACAAAATATCTTCTGGTAGAAGGTATTTCCGTTCGGTCTCTTGAGGTTCGCTTTTTGTTGAAGGAGTTCTCGTAGAAGTCAGATCCGTTCCAGAATCTGTCCGTTCCGTTACGGTTTCAAATTCCGTGTCTTGGGTCGTTGAAACTGAAATTCCATTGTCAGATGTGCGTTCGGTTGTATCATCCCAAGTACTATAGAAAAATAATCATGTGATTCATAAAAGAATAAATTTCTTACTTTAGTTTGTTTCCAACACTTTAAAACTACTTGCAAATTTTGAATGTTAAACCTCTATACGAGAATTAAAAAACTAATATACCCTTTGATATTCTGTTCGGAATGCGAGTTTTTTTATGCAGTTGAGAATTGCATTGCATATGTGAATGTATTTAGATGTTTCTTTGTTTCGTTCTGCTCTTTCATAAAATATTCTGATTTCGCAAATTTCATAAGAAAAGCCTTGAAACTCTCTTAAGCTAAAAATCTTAAAATCTTATCAGAGACTAGTAAAATGAGCATGCGAAATTTAATGAAATCTGTAACTGTCATTACGTCTTGGGAAAAAATCAATATTTACAAAACGACGTATAATTATGTGAGGATTTCCAATGACATGAACCGAATGTGTTTGGAACATAAGCCAAAGAAAAGTTTCATCTACTGCTTCAAAATAAAACAACATCGTTATTCGTCATCTTATTAAACCGAGTATTTAACGCTTGATAAAAATTAAAAATAAACAAAGACTTGAAATTATTGCATGCGATGTATGCTGCTGTAGCCTGGTAGCACATATTATTTCATTTTTCAGTGATTGAATGTAGATTGTGGAAATCCATTGATGATTAAGTTTGGTGTGATTTATTTTGATTGTGAGGTCACACGAGGGCTGTTTGATAATGCAATGACTATCTGTATGTAAGTTTTATGGCCTTTCATTATGTGTAACGTGCGTCATTTAAAGTTCAAATTAACGATTTCTATTGGTAATGTTTATAAAACGAATTCAGGTTCCTCAAAATATAGAAAATAAACCAAAGTAATAAAAAAGCACATCTTTAAGGGTATAATTGACTTTTAGTAACTTACGTCTCCGTTTCCCCAGTGTCACTTTCTTCATCTGACATGGTAATATATAATTAATGCGAAACTAATTTTATGTTCAGTCAATTTTTAGAGGCAGCTAATTCTCCTAGAAAAAAACATA